CACCCCATCCAAATGGTTCTCTCCTAATGAGGTAAAAATGAAACCTTTAATAGAAATTATACCAGTTTAGCAGCACAAGTGATGCCTGTGCCGGGTGCACTGCTCAGGGCAAGGCTTTTGTTCCATTTGTTGCTCGGTTTGAAAGGCAGGAGGAGCAGCAACTGAAAATCCAACCTTGATTTAAGTGTAATTGATGGAAAAATTCAGTAGAAAAATAAACAGTTCCAAGGGCTATTACCAGTTTTAAGTGTTTAGCTTTTTTCTACATGCATGAATATAGCTTCACATTTCCAGATGTTATTTTTTCACCTCATTCATAAAAAACTGCCGATTAAAGAGCCTTTTCCCCCAAGTCAGTGCTTACAGAGCACGCTAGCAGCAAGTCTATAAAACCTCCCAGATAAAGTACAACATTTCCCATGTGTTTACCAAAAGGCAGGCTATGTGCAGTAAACACCATGGTTCTTTTCTGAGCTATCATTAATTTATCAACATTCACTCCTTCAGCTACTGCCTCAAACTAGAAGCTCGTATTCAGGTTTCTGGTAACAGAAAGCCCTTCCAAAGCACCCTGAGCTCTAACCAGAGGCTTCGCACACTTGCATGCATCACCTTGCTGGTAAACGAGCATCAAAATACACATGTGGTGCAAACAAGTTCAGCTTATACCATGATCTGGATCCATCTGTGGAGGGGACCTGACTCTGGACCACTGCAATTTCTGCATCTATAAGTGACACTTTTTTTGCTGGGGTTTTTGTTTGGTTTTGTTGTTGTTTGGTTTTTTTATGTACTAATCAGAATTAGGGCAAGGCACCCCTGCAGGAAATAGGCACTGGAGAACATAAACGTGAAATTGGTTAGATTTTAAAAAAATTTTAAAAATTCACAAGTTCAGTATTTATTTTAAGTGGGCCACATCTGCTGGAAATCTGTTTTCATCTAAGAATAAACACTGTTAAGCACTAGCTGTTGAGGTTAAAAATAAGATGAAGGCCTGACTTGGACAATTAGCGCTGTTAGGGAATGTGCATCAACAAAGGGATCCTCCCAAGGTATAAAAGATGAGAAGAAATCTTTAACTTCTCTTTGCACCTGATACAAGTTCAGTGTGTTGCATGAGGAACTGATGGCCGAGCTTCAAAGAGATTGCGTGCTTGAGCTTAGCCAGACCTTCCTAAAGACCAAGTTTAACTACAAAACTCGTATTAAATAACAAACTCCTACCAAACAAGATAATTCAGTATATTCCACCCCTTTCATTTCCCAAATGGCATGTCCTCGGACAAGATGCTTCCTGTATTTACATGACTATTCAAAATCAACCTAAGACAGTGGTAACTGCAAAACGCTGTCAGTACCATGATGTTATGCTGTATTTAAGTAAGTCTTGCATTGCAATTGCTCTTCTTCTAAAAGGTGGACTCACTTAAGCATCAAAGCAAGCCTGAGCTCACAAGGCAACTTCTGTTGCACGCAGTTACTTAAACATGACCATCAACCTCTCCCTTCCCAATTCTTTCTCGCAGGATCAATTCGGTCTTGTTTGCTGCTGTTATCCTTCTCTCCTCAGAAATGCAACCGCGAGGAAGGAGCTGAATCACAACCAAACTCTATTCGCATTAAATATGAAGGAATTACACGATATTGTTACCGTTATCTTGCACTGCAGCTCAGCAGACAAGCTCAGAGAGAAAGAAGGAACCTCTATAATAGACAATACTACAGCAGCAGATTACTTGAACAGCTAATGATAAATGTAGGATTATTATTTATAAATAGAGAATTAATACCTTTCAGGCACCAAACTACTCAACTTTTGCTTTTAAAATGTCATCTGTATTTCTCAAGTGTACAGACCTCCCAAAGAAACTTACTCATTAATTTACAGAAGCAATGAATTTGGCTAAGAATTAATTCCTTAATACTGTTTGTGTAAGATCTTTTGCTTTTTTTTTGTACAGTAGCATTATTCCCTCTAAATTAATTAGGTGAGCGCACGCAGTTATCTGAATATGTATTTCCTCATGTTTTCAGTATTTGCTTAAACTTTTCACCTGGGATTAAGTTTCTGGACCCCAGAGAAAAGAGCTGCACTTCAATTAGAAAGGTGAAAAAACGTGCATTTGAAATGAGCTTCCTGCAAAAAGCTGCAATAGCTACTCTTAAAATTAAGAGCAATAGATTAAACCTGACACATTAAAAATTCCTCAAGAGTTTTGCTCAGGTTTGTTGGGCTTTTTATACAAGTTCTTCAAAATCTGTTCCCGTATGGCCTGGGTACTCTTACAGGCACATGGAGGATTTAGCAAGGCTGGAGCCATTTGTAAAATGCGTTTATTGATGTGCTGGGGGGAGAATCAGCCCCTTCCAGAGCTTCCCCAGGCAGAACCAAACTGCACGTAGGAAACACACGTGCAAGTGGTCACTTGTAAAGTGCCTTTTAGTCATCAAAGTAAAAACTTCCTGCTCAGTGCTTTGCCCCCCAGTAGACACATTCATGCACCTACAAACCCCCTCTCTTTGGTAAGAGGGGTTGAAAGCTCAACTTTTCCTTCATTTACACAGTGAGTTAAGCTACAGTAGTTAAACTACTACTACTTATTTGTCCAGGAAATCAGTAATTCCTTCATCCAAATATTTTGTTTTTCTAACCTGTATTCATGTTGGATAATGAATTTTTCTATCAAGAGGAGATACAGATCTCTCCAGACCCACCACAATGTCAAATCAAATATTTAAGCCACAGGCACTTTGACTAAAGAAACTAAATGACTGAGGATGTTTATCCCTCGGTTCTTTTTTGTTGCATTCTGTTTGGAAGCTGTAGAGAAGATTAGAAATTATTTGCCAGGATTGCAGTCCGTTTCGCCACAAATCCTGACAGATACACTGTGGGTTCAAAGAAATCACAATCACTATCTGTGGAAGAAGCTGCATTTTAAAAATACAGAATTACGATATACTACCTACGCTTTTGTTTTGTTGCCTGCTCCCTTGAATAAGATTTAAAACTTTTCTTTTTTTTCTTCCCCACTAACCAGGGGAAAAAGGCCAACAAGAGTATTCTGCCTTCGTTAATTATGGAAGAGGAGAGCTGCAATGGAAGAGAGATTTCTACCAACAAGCGAAAACAGGAGAGGCAGAATTAGCAGCAAAGTATCACATAGCTCTGAGCCATCAAAGCGTGCACATGAGAACAAAATTCCCAAGAGGCTCAATAAGATCTGAATTTTTGTTTCAGGAGCACCGCTTGTTTCTTATAAGAGCTTCTGTCTGCTCACATTATCCTGAAATGAGACCTTGTGCTGCTTGCCCTAAGCCAAAGTCTGAGGGACTCCACTAGTTCCTTGTTATATATTTTCCTCGTTATTTGCTCCAGTGTTTCCCTGGTATAAGATTTTAACATGCTGGGAAGAGATAAATTAATTTCCCTCTCTCCTATAGACAGCCTGAGAGAGACCATTTAGCCAGGATGTTAATGACCAAAACTGGGAAAAGGAAGAAACATCAATCCATCCACAAATGTTCTGAAATGTAGATACATGGCAAATGAACAATTCTCTGAAGAGCTGCGGACACCAAGAGAAGTCTTCCAGGTCTAAAATACAAAGTTTTACGATTTTCTTAATTTTAATCAAGACATCTGAAGATTTTTTTTTTCCCCCAGGGATCTCAAATTGCCATGAATAACTGCGGAGCTTGGAAGCCCCAAGAACAGCCACCCTGTAAACCAACAAATGGGGAACAGGTCCACGCTAGAGAGATCAGGCACAAACTCTGGTCACCAAAAAGATAGGCAAAAACCTGCAAGTAACTCCAGGTGATGTGGTCTTCCCCTGCTGCCAGCTGTCCTGGATGTTATTTTGCTTTGCAGCTCCAAAAAGGATCAATACCTACTGCTGTAGCGGAAAGTGAGGACATGGGCTTTGGTTTGTAATCCTAAATTTAGAGGGTGTGGGGGGTGGTTTGGTTTGTTTCTTTTGGTGTCAAATCGCAAACACAGAAGAAACTGTAATCCCCCAAATTCCGCTGCAATAAATCCCAGAGCTATTATAAACCACTCCTAGAAGCGAGGATGAACTCATCAAGTTTCACACGTTGTTAGTGTATGGACACTTCCCTAGGCCTGATCCTGGCCTTCCTGATTTCTATAGCATTTGGACCATCTCCAAATGCAGCCTGAGAATCCTGCTCAGTTACCTCTCACTTAGTGAGAAATCATGCAAACCAACAACATTTGTCTAGAAAATGCATATAAAAAAATTCTAGAAATACATCATCCCTGTCCCATTTAATTAGTGGTTACATGTTAGCATGTAGAACTAGAATGGAAGGAGATTTTGCAGTAATACCTTTTTCAAACCACTCTTTTGGTGCTTTGATACTAGACTGCAGTTGTAATCATCTATTTAGCTGATGAGTTTATTAAGAGGGAGAGCAAGATGCTCACTTGGCCATGAATTTAGTAACATTACCTGTCACAGTTAAACCGTGTCAGATCCCAAACTGTGGTCTGGGCAACTTGGCAGATCACATCAGGCACCGAAATATCCAAGCAACCTAACTTTGAGTAGGTAAATTCAGCTGCTAGTCCCAACAGATTGTTCACACTCAATGGAGTGAGAGGAGCTCTTCCAGAGAGTGCTCTGGGAAAATAATTCCAGTGCTCTCACCAAGACTGTGAGATGGGAAGTACTTGTCTCCCTCCATTGACCATGTAGAAGAGACCAGCTTCATAAATATCTGAATTCAGTACTTGAAGTTAGGCAGCATGAATACTTTCCTAAGGTCTCAACTCCTCACCTTTGCATCCAACTGCTTCTAAAGGTCTCCAGGCTCTTCCATGTGAAGAAGAACTTGGAAGCTTGTAGAAGTAACTGGAAAGAAAGTGGGATAAATCAGCCTAGCTACCCCAGGAGGAGTGACTGCTCTTTCAGAGAGCCAAAGGACACAACCAGACAAAAGAAAGAGGTGGTGTAGAAGAGTCCAGTTCTTACCTGCCAAAACTCTGACTTCTGCATCATTTCCAGTTCTCGAACTGGCTGGGTTTTTCGCCAGGCATCTGTAGATCCCGCCGTCCCCATGCTGAACCCTGCTGATCTGTAAAGCTCCGGAGGGCAGGACAGCCACCCGCGTGTCGGCCGGGCTCGGGAACAAGTCCTCCTGGTTCCGCTGCCAGTGCACCACAGGCATGGGCTCACCAACAACTTCACACTTCAGCAGAATGGTGTCTCCTGCAAAAGCCGTGACAGATTCTGTCTGGGAAAGAAACCTCAGTGGTCCTGCAAACACAAGCAAAAAAAGCAATTAGATAGCTGCTGAAAATAGAAGTTGCATGCTGTTTCCATGCCGATTTGGATTTTGTTAACAATCCAGACTAAAATTTACGTGATATTCTGAAAACTACTTGGAGATTGCAATAATGGCAGGGTGACTAACACCTTCCTTTGTCAATTATACTCATTAACAGCAAAGAAAAGATGTGTTATCAACATAGAGAGTAACAAATTGCACCTGCTACTTACAAACCCACTCAGGAACAACTTTAACAAAGTACAGACATGCTATCGGGCAATACAAACTGTTCAGAACTGGGTGGCATTCAAAGGAAAGCACAACTAAACCTATGTAAGGTTAGGAAAACGTTACAGTTGCATCTTGCTATATTTCTCCTTCCCTATGCCCTTCCGCCCAAATAAGAGGAAAAACACTCCAAAAAGCCTCTCCTAAATAAACTGCTTAGGTCACGTAATCAAATACTTCAGATGAGGAATGACCTGTGTCTGTTTTTCCATGAAATATTTTTGACTCGCAAGGGCAGGAGAGCAGAGCTGGGAGCTTTAATTGCACAACCCCCAGATGCCCCAGCCTCACTCGGTGCAAAAACATGAGGACTACGTCCTTCATGTGCTACAGAAGAGAAACCCAGCAAGAACACGACATGGTCTGCAAGATTCAAAGTGCAAGTGATAGAGGATGTCAAGATCATGGACTTTTATCACCTGGAAGCATTGTTGCTTTACTAATAGCACAGATAAACTTGCAAAGAAGAAAAAAAAAAAAGATAAAAGGAAACAAAAAATTAGCCCTCTTTCCAGCCAAGCATGAGATGGACAAATCAAGAAGATAGGCTGAAGCAACCGCTTGGATCAGGAATGTGCTAGAGATGCTGTGGACGTATTTTGGGGACCTGCCCTGGCTCTATCCTGGCCAATCCCTAGAAACGACCCTACCAGCCCCCAGCCCGGCCAGGCACACTTGCTGCCCGCAGGGACTATTTGAAGCCATACCAGCAAATATCATCGCTCAGAAGTGCGTGCAGACATGCACCAAGTGTTTGACAGAGTGAAAAACTTACAAGACAACACTAAAAGCAACTAAAAAGTATATAGGAAACAAGCATCTTTTAGATTATATCAGCCAGTATACAGCGAAGGCTTTCAAAAAGGAGCTGTCAGCAGAGGCTATAAGGAGCTGAGGAAGCAAAGAATAAAGACCCAACTCTCCAGACGTTAAAATGCCACCCAGCAAAAGCAACGTACTGGGGAATGATCACGTACCGAAAAAGACATTTGAGTGGGAGCCCCAAGCTGATTTCCTGGTTCAAACACCTGTTTTCTGGTGTGATTTTGGCCACCCATCTCTTGCCTCCCTTCTCCTCCTCAAACACGTTGCTCCTATCTCCCAGAGCACCCGCAAAGATGAGATCTCGCAACCCAGGTAAAGCGCTTCCATAAGCGAGGCAGGAAAATTCTTTAGCAAGACTGAAACCAGCTCAGTGAAGGCTTCCTAACAGCATTTCCACACGTGAAAAAGAGCCTACGTGAATCTACTGTTGTGTGGGCAGCAGTATTTCCTAATTGCCGTGTGTACGAGTTATCCCTATGAACAGAGTGAGCAAAGAAAAGGCGGTCGTTCCCAACCCCATCCACGCAAGCCCTGCACCCGCTGCACCCTCGCACACGTTCCCATTACAGCCGGGATGCTACTTTCCAGCCAAGCTACTGGCACAGACGCACAAGTAACAGCTTTTCACCCCCAGCAAAGCTGGTGCGAGCTAGAAAAATAGAAGCATTCAACACTTTAATTAAAAAAAAAAAAAAAAGAAGATAAACGCAGTGTGAACAGTGATGGAAAACTGTTGAAAACTGCAGACTTTTCCAGGAGGAAAGACAGCTAAATCTAACAATTTACTGTAAAAACTAGGACTAAAACAATTGCCAATGAGGGATCTTTTTTTCCATGGCAGCACCTTCCCTTGCCATGCCCCTGCGCAGAGCCAGCTCACGCTTTGCCCTGTCTCTGCACCACCTCCCTTTCTGCAGGCATCCCAACCCTTTTTCTTTTAAAGCTTAAAAAAACATAATAAAATCAATCTATAACAGATCTTTTTCTGTGTCCCAGTGAAAAGACACTAACCACCTGTTTCCATGGTTCTGTTCAAAACTCATTCATCTCTCTGCAGGACCATAATATATGAGATCTTAAAACTATCACTGGGTCTTCACAGCTCTCCTGGCTTATGCTGATTTATTTTAAATAGAGTTTTTGAAGCTACACAAATGTTTAGGTTGTCGGGAGCTGGCTCAAGGGAACCGACCAGCAAATACATCCTGAGAAAGTCACTTTCAGAGGCAGACTCTGGAATTAAACATTGCAGATCCTCCGTGATGCTTCGCTCTGTAGCCAAAGGGTCGTAGATGCACCTCCCTGCATTATACCCAAACCTACTTAGGAAACTTAATTGGAAGCGGTACCCAGCTCCGATTTACCATGCAGTCTGGTTGGCAGCCTATCAGGATCCCCATCTTTCCTTACAGAAGACCCAATTATTAAGCAATTAAAGTTCACTTAATAAAAAAGCTTATCATTTAGGGGACAGACCTCCAGGTCTGGAACATGTTTAGCTATTAAATATTCAGCAATTTAGTAGCACTCAGTACAATCCCCCAGAGAAGAACTGCTTTAAATGCTTTGTTTGTTTCAAATTGAAGTCTGCAAGGTTACTTAACATCAAGACAAGACCTTTTTTCCCCACTTTCAATTCACATAATAGCTGAAGGGCAAGAAACCAAGGTAATGAAAACGAGCGAGTTCCTTCTGCTTGCTTCAGAAAATAGGAAAGCGAGCAAGCATGGGTGAGTGAATCTGGAAACGTAAACATTTCAGAAACTGCTGTCTAATTCTCTCTTCACAGGCTGGTTTCCAAAAAGGTGCTGTATTTTAGTTACTCTACATTCTTTTTCATTTACTACCTCCCCTCTACAATTCTGAAAGATTTGCACCAAGTAACATGCAGCAGAAGTATCAGAACAAGACCTACAGACTTCACGAAATAATCCAAGTACAGAAGTGACGTTCGGGTTTGTTCACAGAAACGGGAGCTAAATAAAGTGTTCCCCTTCTTGTTACAAACCCCATCTTACGGGACGGGAAGCCGTACATCTCAGAGGAGATAAAACTGATGAAAAGGTGGACACTCAGATTTCTGATTTAGAAGAAACTAACTGGGGGGAGGGGGGTCAAATCACCAATATGCATTTAGCAATACTTCTATAAAGTACTGCCAGCCAGGGAATTCCTGCAGTACTGGTACCAGACAGCCACTCCTAGTACTGGCTGTCAGCCTAATGACAAGGACTCAAAAGGGAAAGATTTTAATATTACAATAAAATGAATATTAATAAGATATTTTATGCCTTTGCATTTTTTATATAGGAAATTTGGGCAGTTAAGGTTTATACAGATGGAAGTTAAACCAATTTGCCACAAAGGGCACCTCGGTGCAAAGTGAAGCAGAGGAGGGTGCCTTACTGTCTGAGAAGCGAGGATGAGAAGCTGGCTGGTGTTTCAAGAGCAGATGAGGCCAGAAGGCGACACATCAAGTAATCATAGGCCTATTTACTATTACCTATTTTCAACAGGACAAAAGTTCAACCGCTCCTCAAACTTGTGTTTGATATTGGAAATACTTCATCCTGCTAGGAGCTGAATATTTCAAAGACTACCTACCAACCACCAGCTGGGCCTAGACTCAAGGTATGCTAGAGGAAACAAAATCTGAGCAAGGAGATGCTGATTTGCTCTACAGTCCCAGTTTCCAGCTGCTCTCTTTGCTTCAGCCGTTGGCATGGTATACAGGGTACCATGGATGATCTTTTCTTATTAGCACTCAGTTTTCATCAAATTCACATACCTAAGCTAAAAATACACGAACATCGTTAATGTGTGAGCATTTGTCCTTTATGCCTAAACTAGGCCGCCCATCTCCCAAAGCTTCCTCTATACTCAGTGCAGAGAGTGGGGCTTTCCTTGAGACAGGCAGAGGAACCCCTCGTCTTCACCTGGCTGGGGAACCCGGGAGCATTACCTAAATTAGGTGACTACATGTTAATTGTACTAATATTCAGATGGGAGCAATCAATTAAGAGGTCATGACCAGTACAAATAAGGCAGGATCTTTTTTCTTTTTCTAAATACAACCCACACTCAGTATTCTGACTACGCAGAGCATATTTAAATCTTGCGAAACACAAAGTACTGCAATTCCGACTGCAACGCACAGACACGGTCCCCGCTGGCAGATCACATCACATACAAATACACCGTGAAACAGGGAATACACAGGTCTCTGACGCTTGTGATTTATGATGAGAACATACGATTGCCTTGGTATCTCCTGACTCTGGAGACACACATAAGCAAACTTCACCAGAAGTTAACACGGCTGTTTGAAAGAGCATAAATTATGGGTGATGACAATATAGTCACCATCGCATATCAACTGTATCCTAAACTGTTCCATCAAAAAATAAGATATTGAAAAGAAACTGAGAATTTCAGAGAAAGAGAGCAACACAGCATCCTTAGAAATAAACTTCTACAACTCTAATTTGCTATCTTTTGTTTTCCCCAGGTCTCAGGCGTTACTTCTGCAGCAACCCAGCTGTAACCCACCATTGCAGCCCTGGGGAGATACCAAAATGCAGCTGTCTGGGCCCCTGAGCATCCAGCAGCTGCAACCAAGGGGAGAACAGACAGTTTCAAGTCTGGAAGTTTGATTTTACAAGTCAGACTTCAACAAGGATGACTCTAGTCTATGGCCCTGCCTGCAGGAGATGAGGATCAACATGGGCTTGGCATTAAAATTGCATATTGAGATCCAAGTAATTACTTATGAAGCACAGTGGCAGGCAGGTCCAAATAGCTCCAGATGAACCGAAGTACAGCTAGTCACATAGTTAGGTACTCTATTTCAATTATTTTATTTATATGTCTGTGT